CTTAGGCAGTTTTGTTTTTCTTATATATTTGTTTCTTTTCTTTCAAGTGTGATTTTGCAAGTTTTTTTTTTTTAATATATATTTACTGCTGTTTCTCTTTCTTCTGGGTGTGATTTTACCGTTAGAGCTATTGTTACTGAAGGATAAGTTTTTTGTCTTGGTGTTATTTTTTTTATTATATATTTACTACTGCTTCTCTTTCTTCCAAGTTTGATTGTACTGTTAGAGCTGTCATTACTAAAGTTATTGGAGTTGCCATTTTCTTCATCTTGAGTATATTGTTTTTTTTTATATATTTGCTTCTCTTCTTTCAGATGTGATTTTGCAGGTTTCGTTTTTTTTTAATATATATTTACTGCTGTTTTTCTTTCTTCTGGGTATGATTTCACTATTGGAGCTGTCATTACTGGAGGTTTCAAACAAGTTTTCGTTTTGATGTCTTTTTTTTTTTCTTATATATTTACTACTGCTTCTCTTCAGGTTTGATTTTGCCATTGAAGCTATTATTACTGGAGTTATTGGGATGCTGTTTTCGGTATGATATCATAATTGTGCTGTTGTTCTTTTTGTTAAGAATTTTTAGATGATGCAATATATTTTTTACTATATGTAATATGTTTTAGTTATTATTATTTTTTTTTTATAAATAAATTCGGTAAATTCAGTGATATATTTTTGTCACTTTTTTTAATAAATAAATTTGGTGATATGATTTTGTCATTTGTTATACTTTTATTATATTTTTTTTTATTCTAAAAAAAATATGCTTGCATGTGATCAATTCTTATTAGTCAATCTAAGTGCCTATGTGATTATGTAATCCTGAGTGAGCCCGGAGATTAACAAATTACATGATCTGAAAAATTTCATCTATATCCTGTATTATTTTAATATTACAATTTTAAAATTTGCTGATATACTTCTTTTGTTTTGGCTATAACCTTTGTTTCACTCTTTTTTTCTAAATACTTCAAAGTGAAAAAAAACAAAAAAAAACATTTCTCAAAAATGTTGGTGTTCTTGCAAATTGCCAGAAAAAGTTGCAAAGTATCGAAAAAGGTAAAAATAAATAAATTAATTAAAAATTAAAAAAATTAGTAAAAAAAAAAAACAAAAAAAAACAAAAAATATAAGCAAACTACAGTAATAAAATAAATAAACAAAGCTTCAAATCTTCATTTCTCTAAACTAAGAGTTTATGTTCTTGTAAATTCAAAAATTGTGAAAGCTGAATTAATATTCTTGCAAAATGCCAAAAAAGTCGCAAAATGCTGAAAAAGTCTGGATTGTTTTTTTTGAAAGTGCTAGAAAATAAGGGTTTTGTTTTTGCAAAATGCTAAAATAAAATAAATTTATAAAAAAAATTTAAAAATAAAATAAAAAAAACAAAAATAATTAACACGAAATGAAAAAATAAATGAAGCAAAACCTTGCAAAAACTTGCAAAAACTTGTAAAATCTTACGTCTATTTCTCTAAAAAAGTGTTTCTGAAAATTTAGAAATTGCTAGAGAAATCAGTTATGTGTTTTTGAAAGTGTTAGAAGTTTGAGTTAGCATGTGTAAGGTTTTGAAATGTTGTTTGTTTTCTTGCAAAGGTGTTTTTGTAAAGTGCTGAAATAAAAATAAAATAAAATAAATTAAAAAATAAATAAATAAAAAAAAATAAAAAAAATGCAACAAAAACAAAAAATAAAATGCAAATAAAAAACAAAATGAAAACAAAAAGTAAAAAAAAAACAAAATAGAAGATCTAATTATAAACAAATGATCTAATTTGATCTTGTAATATAGAATTTGAATATCATCAAACTATTTTGAATAATTAGTCTAATATGTGATTCAAATTACAGATCTACTGATCCAGCTTGGTTTTCTAGTCCTAAAATATTTTGAAAGGGTTTGAAATATTTTGTAACATTTTGAAATATTTTGAAATTACTTTCGAAATATTTCAAAAATTTGATATTTCAAAATATTTTGAAATATATTACGAAATATTTTGCTTATATTATGGTTCATAAGACCTTATGTAAGATTATGCTATTATAAATTTGCTGATGATAGTTTGCTATAGGGTGCACCATGGTGCACCCTGCACCAAATATAATTTCTCTTAAATATAATATAACAGACTTTTTTATAACAAACTTTAGACATAATAAATTCAAAATTTTGAAATTTTATAATAGTTTGGTATAAAAAATGGTATAGGTTCTTAAGAAACATGGTAATTTCTCTAAAATTTTTTTTTTTTTAGTTTGTTATAGAAAGAGTTAATTATATATAAGCAAAATTTCTAATTATACTACAAGAATCTAGATTTTTATTCTAAAAAGTTTTTACCTATTTAAATCAAATAACTAATAATAAAAGTTATCTGTCAAATTATTATAATTAGACAATTAAATAGTTTAGATTATTTGACAAAAAAAATTTTTTTTTTAAGATGAGATTTTGTTTTTATTTTTATTAATAATTTGTATTGAGAATCTACTAGACATTTGATAATTCGGGTTTTCAATGATATGGATATATTAAAAATTTTCCGTCGCTTTTAGGAAAACTATATTTATTAAACACGAACGATATAACATATGGGCTAGGAGCTGGGAAAAGGAACCAAATTGACAATTTTTTCAAAAGTAATTTTTTTACATAAATCAATTTAGAATAATATCTCATTTTTTATCTAAAACACAAAAGTAGTTGCATTAATAAAATTTTGCAGTACAGTCCTTTAAAGTTTCATTTTTCTTATAATCTATTATAAGATTTACAATACAAAAATTGATTTTCCGAAGATCTTTTGTTTTGTCAATTTGGTCCCTTTTCTCAGCACCTAGCCCATATGTTTAACATTAGCATCTATTCGTGTAATATGTTATTATAAAAATTTATTTATATTTGGAGCCGCTTTTATATTTCTTGTCAAGATTTATTAGTTGACAAGAACGCACATACTAAACACATCAAATATGTCAGACAAGCATTCAAGCGAAAAAATTTGATAACATTGATATTATTGTTATAACGATCTGTCAAACAATCATTAATAATACAAAAATAACTTATTATAACAGCCGAAAAATCATTCGAAAACAGCTAACTTACTTGAGCCGGCTTGGCTTTTTGAGCCAAGCCGATCCCATCCCTACTACTCTGTATCCATAGGTGCTTGCCCTTGGACAGTGTCACCCATATCAACATTATCCAGCAGGCTTAAGTATTGTTTTAATTCATCGCCTTCTACAATTTTAAATTTACAATCTGCACCAACTATCCCAATAGAACAGTTGTCCATGTTAAGTTCTTTATCTTGTTGTAATGTATCACGTAGAGCATTAAGTCCATGTCGAACAAGCTCATTTAATGATGCTGTAAAAAAAAAATAATAATTAGGCTAAATACTTTGAGAAGATGGAAGCTGTGAGAAATAAAATACCTTCCGCGAAATTCTCATAATATCTTTCAAGGTAGGTTTTGGCCGACTGTGATCGTGCACCAATTGACATCGCGTAATATTCAAAGAAATTTCCAGAAGGAGCGCATTCATAAAGGTGTGGACCGGTTTCCTAATAGAAAAAGATTACAAATTATATTAATTATAAAAAGGTAAATCAAAAAAACAAAATATCAAACAGATTGAATCAAAATCTACATCATATCCAGCGACTAGGAGACCAACACCGTATGGTCGACGCCCGTAGTTTTGGGTGTTGACTTGTGCCTCTGAATAGGGAAAAGAAGACATTAAATGAATTCTTACAAATTCAAACAGATCAAATAAAATAAGAATAAATTGACACATACTATCACCAATTGCCGATACGATACGGAAAATAGGCAATGGACGGCCATAAATTACCTTAGACTTCATAGCTTCGGTACGCATAAAATTGCTATATTCGATTTTGTTCATATTTATCAAGACAAATAAACTATAAAATCAAATCGTTGAAACAATTCGTACCTCAACACTCGTGCATCTGAAGTTAGCCCAGCGATAGCAATACCCAAATGGTCATCGATTACTGTAAGTTTTTTTTGATAGGAAGCCAACTCCCCAGACGACCTCTAAAATGGAAGAACGTTAACCTATGAAAATGTCTCGTCCCCAAGAACTTTATATACTTTATAAATTATTTTCAATTTACCTTAAGCGCTAACAAGACAACATGAGTATTTGACCGAAGTCCAACCGCAGCCGATCCCTGTTTCACGGCTTCCAAAGCATATTCTACTTGGTGAATACGGCCTTGAGGACTCCACGTCGAAATATCGTTATCGTATTGGTTGCGAAACTAGCAACAAGAAAGATAGTTGGTTGCATGGGTACGTTAAGAGTATAAAATTCCGAAATCTTCATACCATTATACTGAATAAAGAATAGAGTAGGATCTAATAATGCTTGCAAATTTCTCTTCGCGATAGGATAGCATTGTAACTCAATTTATCGTGGCGTAGCACCATAGTGGAAGCTGGTTGGTCAGCAGGAATTTAGTTACAGCATTACGTATACCTATACGTAGCATAACGACCAATAAAAACGAATTTATATCTGTTCTTTGATTGGCTGATATAAAATAAACATAACGATAATCTTCTATTCCAAGTTAAAGAAATTCTGTTCAAAAAAATTAGTTTATATGACAAAAATTAGTAATGTAAAAAGAAAAATATGGGTTTGATAAAAATGAGACCATTAAACACGAACTTAATGTAGCTTGCTTTGGTATATTTAATTTATATTCCAAAATAAAAAAAAAATAAAGGATAAAATTTTATTACTATTAGAATTACTTTATTATACGTAAATGTTCTATATATAATATATAAAAATTTTTTTTTTTTTATTAATAAGCTTTGATATTATATTTTATAAAAAAAATCAACATTTTTAGAAAGTTCTGTAATATGCTGAAATAATCAGGTTTCTGAATTTTCTCGATAAATATTTTTGGTTTTAAAGGACTTGGAAACAAACGAATTGATTAAGCAACTATTGATTTTCCTGATGTTCCCTAGTAGGATTTTGTTCAAAGCTTGGAGCCGGTGAATGACATTTGAAGCAAGCCAACCGACTTTGGAAGTTATAGAATTCACATTTCGGACAAATCCAATCACCAGGTGCTACTTCTCGGTTTTGAACTTTTTCACCACATTCAAAACATTCTGTTCGATATGCAAAATTATTGACACCACAACTTTTACATATCCAGTCACCTGGCCGTTGTCTCTGTATTCTCGGATAGTTTTCAAAACTTGACGAAGCGGTGAAACCCCGGCGAAAGACGAAATTCCTGGCGAAAGGCGAAGCTTCCGGCGAAAGGCGAAATTTCCGGCAAGAGGCAAAGCCTCTGGTAAAAAACGAAACCTCTGAAGAAAGATGAAGCCTTTGAGACTTTAATAAAAGACGAATTCCTGAGAAAGACCGGGATACATTGGCAACTGAAAGCATTTTCGATGTGTAGTTAGCAATTAAACATCGAGATGTGGCTTATATAGGCCAAATTGCTGATCTGCAGAATTCTGGTTGGCTAAAACTAATCCCGATAATTTCGATCTTGGCCAATTTTGTAGATCATCCCGTGATATTGTAAAAATTTTATAATATGAGTGCGTGAGAGTGAAAACCTGGAAACCGATTTAATGATTTACTATGATCGGTTTCCAGGTTTTCACTCTC